TCCACCCACGCTCCGCACACCGCCGTTACTCCGGGTGGCGGCGCGGGGTCGGGTGCCGGGCCCGACGGCGGCGGCGCCGAGCGGAGCCTCCGGCGCCGGGCCAGGGGCTCGGCCCCGCCGCTCCTCGGCGCCTCCTCGTGCCCCCCTCCCGCCGGGCCGCGGCGGTCCGCTCCGGCCGTCCTTCCGCTCGCATCCTCCCCAGGAGCTGTGCCCTCCTCCGGCGGCGGAGTAACGGCGGTGTGCGGAGCGCGGGTGGACGCGGCCGTTGTTTCTGGATGGAAGGAGTCGGGCACTTTTTGCACCGTGGAGGTGGGGTAGGGACAGAGCGGAACCGCGGGGCTCGTCCCTGTCGGGAGGGCCCCCAGGGAGCGGCCGGCCGCGCGGCGGCGGTGACAGGGCGCCTCGCGGCCACCGCCGCGCTATGACTGCAACTTTCTGCTTTCCTCCATCACGCCTCGGATGATAATATTTTCCTCCTCCCTCCTCTGCTCCTCCCCTCTTGTGTTACACCGACAGGCAGAGCGGGGTGTTGTGGGTGTTTGCGGGGAATAGCTGTATGAAGGTTACGAGCAAACAAGTCCCTTCTCTGTTCCGTTCGGGTTATTGTCTGCTTTTCCTCCTTGCATTGAGATGCGCTGCCACAAGATGTAGCAGTTATACAGCTGGAGAGCGGCTCGCGGCTTTCTGCTGGGAGAACTACTTGTGGCGGGGGAGAACTTTTGTGCACGCACACCCGCGTGCTGAACAGTTGTGTAATTTCTCTCCATTTGCCCCACTTTGATCAATTCCGCGTAGCTTGCCTACGGATGTCTGCAAAATGTCGCTAGCCAGGCAGGAAACTTGAGAACTTGAAATAGAAATACCAGCGAGAAGAGCGGTCTTTGTTTTTCAAGTCTTCCTGTGGTTGTTTTTTTTTTTGTTGTTGTTGCCGCTGTTGATAAGCAGTTTGAGGGCTCAGTGACTGGGATTTGCTCTCCCAAAACACAGGAGGTGCTTCTCCATTTTCTGTGCCTGCAGTTGTCAGACTTATATTGCTCCCGTCACTCTGCACGAGCTTCTCCTGGCAGCCTGACACGAAATGCTCTAGAAAATACCTGGAGAGGGATTACAGTATATGTTAAAGATGCTGAGTAAAGTGGCAGGCATTTTGTGCTCCTGCGCTCCTGGAAGCCGACTGGCAGCAGAACGGCCGCCCCCAGCTGAACGTGCAGCTGATTTTAACTTTATTAGGAGTGGGTTTCAGCAGTGTCGCAACACTTGTTATGGATGTGTGCATGTAATATTCATATGGAGTGCCTGTGTGGGGATATTTTGGGATGTATTTCAGATGCTGGGTGCACAAGCCTGAAATGATTGTTGCAGCACAACATACAGATAACGTAAATATATATATTCTCTCTTTTTATATATTTATACATTTATTATTTAAAGAGAACTGGTGTTCCTTAAGCATGTCATCTAGGCATGGAAAAGCAGTTTTGTGATGTTAATTTTTAAAGCGGCGATGATGAGGATGGTGCTTTTTACATCCCTTCTCACGATTCCTGTGGTTGGATTGTTCCAAGTGCCGTAATTTACACTGTGCAGATACGGGGTTTCAGAGCTGTGAAAGCTCAGCTCTGTGTGTGGTGCTGTAACGGGCCTTATTTGTGTAGTGTTCCCACACTGTGATGGCTGCATTGCCTCACTGGGCAGTTCTCTTTGGGAGTCAGTGTGAGATATAGGTGGTGCTTGAATCCCTATTTTTGGCGTAAGCTGGAAGGATGGTAGCAGCGCGCTTTGCTTTGTAAGTGTGTATTTTGAAATGGAGCATTTTGTATGAAAGCAGTAGGCCGTCAAACACTGATAGGTTGGTGTGCTTATAGGCATTGGCTTGTACGTGTGCAGGAACGATGGCAGGTCAAACTAACAAGTTCAAAATAACCTGAAACAAGGTGTATTTAAAGGAGCTTGTGTGCATGCTGGTTCTTGACTGGCGGGCCCAGGCAGCGCTGCCAGACGGTCTGTGTTGGAAGCAGTATATGAGGGTGTGGGCCTTGGCGAGACCAGCACCGTGCTTGAACGCTAGCACCAGTGCTGTGTGTCCAGGTGTGGGCCTGCCATGCTTGTGCTGAGCCTTTGGCCTGGGACTGGCATGTTTCGTTATGTGACACCTGTCCCCTCTCCTCAACTCCTGTCTTCAGCAGGCCGGCTTCCCTGCCAGATATGCAGGGCTTGCGTGGTGCGTTGCAGCGCAGCAGCTCACACAGCCTTACCTGCAATCTGCTGGGACAGCTTGGCAGTGGCCCACGTGGTGCTCACTATGTGAAGGTTCCTGCTACTGGGAGCAGGAACCCCTGGCATCCTCTTTTTGCAAGTCCAAAAAATACTCTCTGAAGCCCTAATATGGAGAAATCAACCAAAATCAACCAAACCAACCTCTGACATATGTAGCTGTCAATCAAAGTTCTTTTGTTTCTCAAATTTTAAATGTAATACTCTGTCAATATTGAAATAGGAAATACAGGGTGAAATTGAAGAAAATAATTTATCTGTTTTGAAATGCGTTACAGGTTTGTAGCAGTGCTTCATGAGGTGTTGTCTTCTCTTACTATTTGACTTGTAGGGGCATCACTGCCCGGCTGAGTAGATGTGAATTTGTGCTTTAGAGCTTTAAAATGAAAATATTGGCATGGACTTAAGTAAAATAGTATCTGTACACTTCTCTTGTATCAGAACTGTCTTGTGTTTCCAATTTCATGTAGTATTGAACTTTCCTTCTATCCTTTGTTTTATATGCCAGTAATTTATGTGTGGTATATTTGGTCAGTCATTTATTCAGGAACCACACAACTTAGGCTGTGAGGAATTTGGGAAAACTGTTAAGTAGTGTTACTGTAAACGCTGTATTTACTGAATCTTGTGCCATAACTCAAGTAACTGCAGTCATGCAGCTTGGCATTTGAAGTTTCTTTACTGTTCACGCGTGGCACTGAAGAGATCACATTGCACAGCTGCAGGGTGCTGGTTTGGAAATGGGAGGCAACCAGGCTATCGCAGAGAGGACAGAGAGGTTTTGGAACACGAATGTGAGTGTCTTAAATATTTCCTCCTTTGAGGTTGGAGGCAGGTCACCAGTCCCTGGCAGCTCAGCATGGTGCTTTGCTGGTTGTTTTTTTGTGTGTGCTATTGGCTTTGCAGACTTTACTAGGTGCAAAACGAAGTGCTAAACGAACTCTGAATCACCAAAATAGGAATGGGAAGGATCACATCTGGAATTTGAACACAAGTTGAAAGGTGATGACGTTGTGTTAAATAAATCCATGACGTTTTTCCAATACCGTTTGAAGATCTATTGTTGTAGTTGTGTACATGCACGTGAAAGCTACCTGGTTGTATTCGGACTTCTAGGTTCTTCTGTGGTTGTTTGCTTCCAGTGTAGCAACTCAACTGTTCTGTTTTCTTTACCAGTAAGTTCTCATTAAGTTGTTTTACTGCAGTTTCTTACAATTTAGGTACAAAGCTTTTGAGAATTTAAAGGACATAACCAGTTTATGTGAGAGCAAAGAATGGGAACACTTTGTATTTGAGGGTGATGGTATATTTTTACTGAGAACGAGCACAGCAATCATAAAAGATTGTTTAGGCTAACTGCAGCAGGTGTTGTGTAAAACTTGGTGTTGTGCCACTTGTGGGCACTGATTCCAGCTTGTGATGTTGCTATCTCTATTGCAGATATTTCTCATAGTGAGCTAATACAGTGCCAAATTCTTATGTGAGATTTTTTTAGTGTGCCCAAGTCAGAAGTGGGGGAAGAATACCTTTCCCACATTAATGTGGACCCTTGTTTGAACCTGAATGTCTGAGAAGTAAGTGTGGTGGAGAACAGAGGAGATTAACGGTTGGGTGATTGTTTTGTTTTATTTCTGTTTTTCCTTGTCTAAAATGGAATTTCGCATTAACTTACTCAATTTTAAAAGGAGAGTGAATCAATATTCTTAAGGACAGGCTGTATTTATTTATTATTACCTCAATTCAAATGACAAGTATGTTCTTTTGTTTTTTTTCTCCTGTCAGCAAGTAAAGTTCTTCAACAAGCTGAAATAAGCTTGTCTCTTTGTAATAACTTTGTTTTGTGGTAGGTATTGATATTACCTTGGATTTTCCTCTAAATGATTACAAAATGTCAGGAAAGACTAGTATATGCATATGTATCATGGTCAAAGTGAGGTCTGTGGAATTTTGCTACCTTGGAGAAAGGAGATTATGAAAATATGGCTGGCTTAAATAACTCTCTGTGCTTTCTGTGTTCTTCATATAAGATGGTGTGTTTTTTTTTTTTTTTTAATACTTGTTCCCAGCCCAGTTCACTTTAGTACTAAGTATCTCACACACTGAAATCTTTACACATACAGGAGTTCAAGCTGAACTTACTTTGTAAACATATACTATTTAGTAGAATATTTCCTGAACTGCAGCTCCACTAAAATCTAAAAGCATATGAGGGAAAAAGAAAACTTCTGTCTTTGTGAACTTTGTGAATTTCTTTTCGTTTGGCTTGGTTTGTTTTAGCTGTAAAAGAGGGAAAGGGAATTTTGGTTTGCTGGGTTGCTCTGAGTGGAAGTTAAAGTTGTAAAGGGGAAGAAAGAGCACCTTTCTATGTTCAGAACGTGAGTGTGGGAGGGCAGTCGCACAGAGCTCCCACTCGTGACTCAGTGTAGCCTTAAACAGAAGCTGGCCTCTGAAATACTCCAGGTGGACTTGAAACTAGAAAATTTCTAATGAAGATGGCAAGGGAGAGGTACTGTGTGCAATGTTTAAGAATTGAATTCTGCTGCAGCAGAGAAGAGCTAATGAGCATCGGAAATTGTTCTGGATCCTACAGTTCCCTACATCTTAATCCAGTCTTTATTGAGATGCTCAATTTGGGATAGGAACTCAGGATCTGCATCCTTCCTAAGCACCCTCTCTCTGCAGGTTTCGTTCTTTCCATTCTTTCCTGAGCACAGCACCAGAAGGTGCCAGCAGGAAGATCCTGGTAACCAGCCGTTCCCAGGGTGGCCATGGTAAGGTGGTGGGAGTGCACGAACTTGTAGGCTTTGACAGAGTTTGCTCAGACTGGCCCCAGCAGAAGGGCTGCAGGACTGGGCTGTTGGACATGCTGGGGGCTGGCACTGAGAGCCATGGGGAAGGTCTGTGCTGGGAGGGGGACTGGAGGTGGCAATTATATCACTGATTTTAATCATGGCTAAAATCAGTGAGCAGGAAATCCTGATTAAATAATTGTTTTTAATTTTGTTTGCGATTGTGCTTAATTATTTTTCCTAAAGAAAAGTTGATTCTAATTGGTCTAATTTTATCGTGCTTCTTACTAGACGGGGGGGATGCATCTATATGCATTTATTTAAGTAATTACTTACAGCTTCGATTCTTTGTGTTTAAGAAACGTAATTCCCGGTGCTTTAGATAATAAAGTTAGCTGGAAGCCAAATAAAATGAATCCTAATTGTGCTAGGTAAGAAGTAATAAATATATCCAAGTGTGTTTTTGCATTTAATCCAGCTCAAACAGAAGCGGAATGTCTGTAGTTTGAGAAATGCGTCAGTTATTTCTGGTCACAGAATGAGTGGCCACTCTTTCTTGCCCCTCACTGAGGAGTGGAAGTGGCCCTTCCTGCCCCGAGCTGTCAGTTGCCACGCAATGCTGGCTACCACTCGCTGTCCTGACCTGCTGGGCAGAAGGTCTGGGGTGCTTCCAGGCTGCGATCGGTTGAGCCCACAGCTCTGGTCCTGTCTGTGTCGTGCTGCTGCCTCACAGTGCCAAGGTTTGAGTTGTCGGAGTGTGGTTGAGTCTGGTAGCTTAGGGATATGGAACTTCACCTCCAGATGTTTTTACTTGAATTTTTACATCATGGGAGGGAAGCAGTTCCCTGGTACCACCACCATTGCTGAGGGGTAACAGCGGGAGCATTAAGAAATGGGCCTTGCCTCACCATATCTGCACTGCTGTAAGTGGGTGAAAACTTAAAGGCCGCTGTGCTTTGCAACGTCCTTATGAACAAAGCACCCCATCCTTCAGGGTTTGGGATGAGGCTAAGAAATTCCAGAACACCTTTTACAGGAAATGAAACCTAACCATAACTGCTTGAAAGTAAAGCTTGAAGTACAAGTACTGGATTCCTTTTCTTTGGATTTCTTATACAGCTATACCTTTAAGAGAAAAGGAAGGAAAATGTGTTTTTTGAGGAATAACAGGAAGTCTTGATGTGTGACATCACATATGCCTAACCTTTTAGGGAGTTGGCCTGCAGCACAAGAAGGTAGTGGGGCTGTTAAAGCAGGCCAAAGGGAGGCCGTGAGGGTAGGGGATGCTTCATCCCTGGTGGTTGTCAAGGCCAGGCTGCATGGGGCCCTGGGCAGCCTTCCAACCGAAGCCGTTCTGTGACACTTACTTAGCTTTATGTCAGTATGCTGAGATCAAAGCATATAGATGCTTGAAGCACAGTGTCCTGCTGCTGTGGCTTCTGGTGGTGTGAGTTGTTTTTTTTTTTTTTAATTTTATTTTTATAAGAAAAATTCTGAACAATATGTGTAAGAGTAACAAACTGGAAAATGATGAATATAAATGTCTTTTCTGAAAGAATATATTTTAGATCATGGTCCTGAACTTCATTCAGTGAGTTTGCCCAGGATGTTAGCTGGTTTTAACAGAGGCATTTCCCAATTCTTTCACCACTCAATGAGATCTTGGTTTTAGGGAAACCAACTCAGATGATGTTACAAGTAGAATTTCTACTGCATCTTTCTTTCCTTCTTTCTGAGACTTGTCAGGCAATGCAATGCATAACTGTTTGTTAAATATGGGTGTTTTTTTTCTGGTTAATACTGCATTCTCATTGGTTCCATGCTTTTGTCCTACATTTTGCAGCTGTCTTTCAGCCAATATTGGTTTCTTGTTTGTTTGTTTTTTGTAGTTATTCCCTAATATCCTCTTTTTAGGTCCTTGGGTCCTCAGAGAGATCAGTCTTTATTTCTTAACTTATTTCTAGTAAGGGTGGTGGGAGAGGGCATGTCCTTTAATAAGCCATTATGTTCATTATATAAAGAAGCATTTGAAAACAAAATCTCCATGTTATTAATAATACGCTCTTCATTAGTTAAAAAAAACGACAAAAACAACAACAAAAACTCATAGCTACTATCGTTGGTATGTAGAGAGAATTTTAAAAATGTTCATTTGTTTAGAAAGGACTGTGATTTTTGGTCTTTATTAGCAAATTCTCCTAGTCTACACAGTAGTGCTCAGTTGTATTAAAAGTTGTATTAAAAGATGTTCTACAAGTTCTGAAATTTCTCAAAGTAAAAAGCCTCTGTGTTATTTTTCATGATGTTCTTCTAACCTTTCTTTTGCCTTTGTTTTCTGTTTATCTGAAGAGGAATGGCAAGTAATCCTGTGTTTGCTGTGCTTTGAACTACAATATATAGCTTGTTAGAAAATAATCTTGCTTCATCTTTGTTCACATATAGTATTTAGAAGATTCTGTGCTCAACTTTCTGTACTGTCCAATGAAGAAGCATGTTTCAGGTAACTTTCTTTACATTCATTGTTGTGCATGTTGCATTATGATCTCCGTTCTTTAGGATAACTTTATATTCAAAAAATCATGTCAAAATACTACATTAATATAATGAGATTCATTGCTTATGTATAACACCTTGTTTTCTGTAATGACTGATCTATTTAAGATCATCCTCAATGACTATAAACTCTTCTGGTAATGCAGTCCCTTCTGTGCTTTGGTCACTGAGAATTAATTGAATAAGAAAACTTAAAAATTCCAAGTTTATCTTTGGTGTGTGAAAGAGTTCTGACTTACAAATGAAAAAATTCATTGGATACATAGTGGTGTAAAATGTGTTTAAATCAATTGGAAATCCACTAATGCATTTGTCACACAACACTGTTGTTACTAGCTCACTCTTCTCATTCTTTAACTTTATAGCTGATGCACACTGATCTTCTAGCCATATACTTTTTTTTTTTTTTTTTTTTTTACCAGCTTGTTCTTAGACAAAGAATGTAAATTTTTCTGTCCTCAGTTTTACTCATTTGTATGTTTTTTTGTTCTTTGTAATTTTTTTTTTTTTTTTTTTAAACAAGCTTCAAACTTCAGCCTTATGTAAAAAATAAACTCAGGAAAGAGTGGGAGAAGTTCAGCATGATGAAATACCAGCTCAGCTTTTTTCATGTGTGTAGTTTAAAAAAAAAAAAAGTCTACATAGCAAAACATGTTGAGAGTGTCAAAGCAGTGCTCTTTAAGCTGAAATGGCTGCTTTTGATAGCCCAAAAACTCAGCAAAAAGTTAGTCTTCTAAGTATTATCACTAGGTGTTCTGGTCTACATGCTGTCACATCCCGAGTGTCCAAGTGGTTAATATTAACAAACAGTCAGTTTTATATATTGTGTAAGGACACACTTGCTTTTTTGCATATACAAAGTGTGTGTGAAGTCTTGATGAGCTGTTTGGTCATTAGGAGTACAACTGTTAGTAGGATTTGCCATTCCCCGTATCACTCTCTTAGACGTGAAGCTTACACAAAAAATGTGGTTGTGTTACAGTAAAATGTTCTAAAGTCTTATTATGTACTTCTTCAAAACCTGTTTCGTAGTTTCAGATATATCCTGTTGATGAATATTGCAGATAATACAAAATATGGTTGCTAGGTTTGTAATGCTGATTTTCCCATACCTTGAGTTCCAGCTTTTTCTATTGCTCTTTGCTTTCAAACAGAGGAATGGAAACGCGTCAAGTTCACAAAAAGGCATAATTTGGTTGTGTATTGCATCAGTATTTTTTTTGTATTTTTCTCCCATTCAGTATCTTTGCAACATATAACTTAATTTGGATACGAAGTACTGAAGCCATGATGGCTAAACAGTTTCCAGTAAATGACCTTAATAGTGATTTTTTAAAAAATTTATTTATTTTTACTCTTCATGTGGTGTGATTGAAAGCTGACCTGATTTGTTCTCCTGGCTAAATCTCTCAGAGTGTTGTTTTCTGAGCCCTTGCCTTGTTCGGCTTTTCTAGAGGAGTGCAAACAACAGCCACTGCTCCCTGCCCTTGTCTGACACCACCGTACTGGCATTCTCCTTAAATCTTCCTTCTTCATTCTTTATTAAAAAAAAAGAAAAGAAGGTGTAAGCTTTGTTGTTGCTGTTGATCTCGCACCTTTGCATTCCTTGCTTTGTAAGGGACGTGGCTGTGGGGCAGCAGTGCCAGTTGCTGTGTGGGCTCCCCTTCTCGCTCCCGGGGCAGGCTGTGCACTTACTTTCTCAGCCATGTGCCCAGGGCTGCCTTCCCACCACAGGTTCCCCTTCTGACTGGTGCCTGTCCACAGGCATGACCTCCCTTGCCATCCTGCTTCTCTGCTTCCTCTCTGCATCTCTTAACTTCATTTTTCCTCTTCCTGCTCACAGCCCCTCGCTCAGCCTTTGCCTGCCCCATTACTGGGTGGCTGAGGAGTGGCTGCTGCCCACAGTTGGTTTGCTGAGGGAATGCTGCCTTTGGAGTGGGGAAGGGGTGGCATTGCCATGCCCAGTGTTGGGCCATGACCCGCATGAGGGTACACTGCTGCGAGGCTGTGCTGCCAGTTTCTCTGCACCCTGACAGCAAGCAAAAGATGGAATCCAGTGTTAGGATTATATAGAGGTCGAACTGAAGGTTTGTTTTTTTGTCAAAAACAGATTTTATTGGTATTTCAGTCTTTAGTAATGGGAATTCCTCAGTTTTTTTAGACTTCAGGTTAAGGCAGGTCATTGCAGTTGCTGTTTGTTACGTCCACTGAGTCACTGAATCTGTTTTGTTGCAGCCAAAAATGCAATAAAATAGCTATCTGTCAAAAACAAAACATTTATGGTATGAGTTGTCTCATTTGATAAATAATCGTCAGCATGATGAATAATGTTAGCTTTCAGTACTCAGGAAAATATTTTGTTATGTGAAAGTAAGAAATGAAAGCAGTGAATTAGTGACTCAGGTAACTAGATGAATACATATTGTGACTAACTATTAAGAATTTAAGTTCATTTCACAGGAGATTTAAGTGGACTTTTTTGAAATTGTGCTGAAACCTACATAGTATGTAGTATATAGTCATTTATGTCAGATGTCCCACCACATATGTAGAAATTTGCCTGTGTGTGGGTTTGTTGTGTGCATGCCCTGTGCGTAGGCAAGCAGCATTCCATGCCCAGCCCCACTGCTGGGACTGCCACTCACTTGTGTGCCTTTCTCCTTGTGAACTGCACCTGGCAGAATGTTCTCATTCCTGAATGTGTTTTGATTGAGTTACTTTTGCTAGATCTTGCATTTCAGTTGTCTTTTTGCTCTGAGGTAGCTTGCTAAAGCAGCACACATAGGCGAGGGGCACCCCCGGGTGCCTACCTGCACCTCTGCCCACTTGCACAGCCTCTGGGCTTGCTTGGGATGGAGAGTGAACCTGGCAAGGCTCGGGGGCCCCTCTCCAAGCCCACTGCAGATTTAGGACTATGTATGGTTTGCTTTTTAAAAACATCCTCTGTGCATTTAACTTGGTGCTTAGCTATTCCCAAAGTCAGGATCGTGGAACCAATAAGGTTAGCCATATGCTGGGCAGAAGGCATCCAAATTTGCCATCAGGAGTAAATGGTTGACACTTAGTGGTTGATCACTATCAAGCCATTTGTAAGCATAAGGCTCTGTGAAACTCGCTTCTGCCATACAAGGAGTTCCATGGTCCTCCCTTACTTGTTGCCTGAACTCTGGGAAGGAAAACTCTTCCTTTGTCTCTTGTTTGGGAATGAGAGCTTGGGTCACAGTTGTTACTGAAGTGATGGCAGTGGTTCACAGGAGCCACTGTGACAACATTATCCCTTAAAATAACTGTTGTTAGTTCTGCGGTGCTCCAGATACCATGCAGCTGTGTTTCCAGGTCTTTCTACAATATAGGTGTTAATTGCACATGTTTTTACTGATAGATATTGAACATATCTATGTACACATATGTATATATTTGTATATCATTTGCAGTGCCTAAGATATTGGGCTGCTGTTTTCTTATTCCTGGTTGCTTTGAACTGTAATGATTTTACAAAACCTAATCCAGGTAATCGCAGGCTTTGTCCATTCTTTGTTCAGGGAGCAGGATGGACTGTCTTCAGGAAAGGAAAAGAATGAGAGTCTGTTTTATTCTAAAACTTAAATGAATGAAAGTGATAGTATAGCAGAAATAAAGTTGGTTTAAAATTAGGCAGTGAGTACTGGATAGGAGAAACAGCTGTAATGCAGATTTCTTTAATGATGATGCTGAGCAAGTCTAAAGCCAGATTTTTGGTGGATGATTACTTATGATATTTCTTTGTGAACTGGATGAGTGCTGAATAAAAAATTAAAATGTATTTTTTCCTTTTGATTTTTCACCTACTCATCTGTGATTTCATAGAAGTCTTACTTTTCTTCCTATCTGTAGAGAGGGAGAATGCTGCATAGGAAAATGTAAGTGTAGTCAGTGCTATATCAGGTGTGTGTGTGTAACTGATTTACTTGGAGCTGCGTTCTGAGGCAGTGCTTCCTAAAAGGAGCTCTGGGGAAGTGCCTCAGGCGGCAGAGCTTGTATTTTATCAGCTGGAGGCTGCTGGTTGGATAGCCGCTCAGGAGGAGCAGATGTCGTTGCCTGATTCTTCGAGCACCATCTAGCCTCCAGACAGGGTGCCTACAAGAGACAAGCGATCAGTCACGCAATTAGCGTGGCCCTACTCAGCACAGGGACGGGATCATGGCTGCACGCGCTGCCCGGTGTCGTGCTGTTCTCTCGGCGAGCTTCTGAAAACTCTGAGTGTAAATTTTGTTTCTGTTTCTGGTGTTTTACATGCTGTGTGCGCTGGGTGGTTATTTTGAGAAGGAAAAATAAATAGGCAGTGTTAATGATGTTTTGAGGTCAGTACCTTTTTACTTAAAATGGTGTAGCTGGAAAGCCAAAATGGTTGATGAGCTTTGAGGTTACAGAGATGAGTTGACTGTCTCCCTTCAGTCTTAGAGGTGTGATTATGTATAAATATATATCTATTTTTTGTAGATGTGATGTGAAATTGTAGTCTCTTCTATTAGTATAAATGGATTGAAGTTGCAGCTGATCACCGTGTTAGGAAAGAAAGGAAAGGAATAGATTGCTAACAGTGCGAAAGACTCAAGGCTTCCTTTTCATTTCTCCTGATCAGCATGTTGCTCGCCGTGCGGCACAGCTGGGCTGTAGCAGTGCAGGCTGGGCCTGTGTGCTGCAGGGGCACCTGGGTGCTGCGAGCTGCAGTTACCCCCACCCCGCAGAGCTGGGCGTCTGCTCCCGAGAGGCCTGGGAGATCAGACAGGCAGGGGCGGCGGTGGGAGCTGCGGAAGTAAGGCGATTAGGAAGTTGGGGGAATTAACAACTGCAGTGTGCTCTTACTGCTGCAGGTATGGCTTTCAGATACCAAATGACTGGCATTGTCACTGAGGAAAATAAGCTGCATTTTTTCATGAAGTTGTTTTGTTTTTTTTTTACTCTATA